TGTCGTCGAATGTGCGAGGAAGACTTTAACGGAATTCGAGAGATCGCAACGGCACTGAAAATTGCCAATCAATTTTGGGACGTAAAAGGAGAAAAACAGGCGACGAGTGGGAGAAAGAGGGACGGGGGAAGGAGGGGGACGTGGAAGAGGAGAGTTAACACGGTTGACTTTATAACCCGTAAACACAAATACTCGAGCCAGAGGGGCCATAACGCCGCGGTTGTTACGGGGTTTTCTGGATACGTGCCATAAGTCGCACACAATTTTCTCTCCTTCAATTTTGTCCACCCCGTCCCACGCTAGTCACTGCCTGCACGTCTCGGTTTAAACGCCACCCCTTGCCAAGAAACGGAGGCGACCTCTGAACAAAATAATTCCCACGCAATTTTGTTAAAAGGAAAATTGTGTAATATTGGAAGATGTCGAGTAACTCAACCCGTCGCATTTTATCTCACGGTTGTAAGAGGATAAACTGTTAAACGCAACAGTGCAACGAGTAATACGACCGATGGTTGAATAATACGTGCCACGGATTAATAATGCATCGAGAAAACTTTCGTCTCTCGTTGTTCCGTCTGCTATCGCGCGAGCAAAAAATTTATACTCCCCACTTCGGAACGATCCAAACCAGAACCCACCCCTTAATCCGACCCTTAAGAGGAGTTTTCACGAATTCGTATCTCGTTCCCTTTCTCGCTGTTTTCCACTGCTTCTACTGTTTCTATTATTTTTACCGTTTCCACCCCTATTGCTACCAACCTTTTTCCTTGAGCCCGTATTTTTCTCAAAACAATTCTTTCGACGACGCGGGGGCGGAGACCGAAACTTGCCCGGCTTGAAATTTTTTCCTACCACGGGAGGGTTGTTCTCTGTTTCTTGCTTAAGGGGTGGACAGGGGGTCGAGAAAGATGGATACGGAGATAGATAGAGCGTGAACGAACGAGGGTGGACGAAACGGGATTGCGTACACACATACGATATTAAATCTTTTCCAAATAAAGATTGTCCGAGTCTAATTATGTTCCAGAGCAGGAGATAACCGAGTTTGTACGAAATCCGGACGAGATAAACATGAAAACTCGATCGACGACAACGTTTAACGCTTTTCCAAACTATCCGAGTTGCTCCTTGCAATTAAAACAAATTCCGGAATAATTGTGGACAAATTCTGGCAAGCGATTCGTTCCCTTTGCCCCTGTTTAAAAGCAATTCCCGGAGAAGTTATTCGCGGACGAGATATCTCAGCGAAGATTGCGGATGACACCGATATCCGTTTCGGTGTTCAGTTTAAACCGTTAAGGGTGGTAAACAGTAAATAAAGAGGGAGATCTCGTTCGCTCTAATTGCGGACCTCAAACTAAAGGCCGCCGGGAGAGAAGGGTAAATTGTAGACTTTGGAATAATGGCCGAAGCTTTTCCTTTTAATCCTTTGAGGAACTGCGTTTCCTCCCGACCTGGCCTCGCTTTAAACTGCACGGACGTTACACGGGGAAGAATCTCAAACAGGAACGGAAGCGACAGATTCTTTGAAACAAGATTAAACAAGACAGTGGTTTTAACAAAAAAATAAAGGAAGCGGGACCGAGCTCTTGGGGATAAACGAATGAATTTTGTATCAGCGAAATCGCTGCAAATGCTCTCGGTCATAATTAAATTGAAAACGTTTGCATCTTTATTCAATATTGATGCATATTTAATTCGTTAACGAGCTCGTCCGACTAAACAGCGTGATGCGACGATATTTTAAACAAACATCACGTTCGTCCAGTACCACGTACGCAAATTCTTTAATGAAATAGTTGGCGAGATCTTTGATGCACGAAGTGGGTATCATCCGGTCAATATTTTCAATCGCCTGGCAAAGTTTTATGAGGCTGCCAGTGTGTATTCGAGTTGCACAGCCCCGAATTCTTGCCTGTCAGAATACCGAGAATAAAAGCGAAAGAGGGCGATACGAGAAGGGTCTGAAAGGGAGGAGGGCGGTCTGGAATCGGGGAGAGAAACCCGGAAACAGGGAGCAAAGGGAAAGAATCCGATGGGGTGGCGTGGCAAAGTGGCGAGGGAGCGAATCAAAGTCGAGGGGGAAAGGAAAATCGGAAGAAGATGCATCGGCGAGGGTGGCAGACGGTCGATGCCCGATGCAAGGGCCTGCTGCTGCTGCTGCTGCTGCTGCTGGTGCCATTGGTGGTGGTGTCTTCGAGGGGTTAGCCGGGGTGCAAACGCTCTCAGTGTACGCATACAAGAGGGTGAGAAGAAGGAGCTATGCTCGTAAGAGCATGAGCGTGACGAAGGAAGGAGAAGAAGTAGACCGAGTTCAAAGGAGATAACGATCTTTGCTTACGTTAATTAGCGTCGGGCAAGAATGAATAAATGCAGATCGAAACTGATAAATCGTCTCTCGGTAATAACGAAACAGGGAAAAAAGCAATTTCGCCCTGTTCTCGAAATGACGGTTTGAGATCTGAATCCGAAATCTACTACCTTTCCTTTATCTCGATGGCTCTGCGCCGTGCGGCGATCAACGCTTCCCGTCTTCGATCAATTAATTAACGGGGTTAACTAGCTGCTCGTCCGGGACTGGTTTTAGCCGAAATTGATTCATTTCGCTAACAAACGGGAATACTATACCGAGTACAATCTCAGCGAACCGGGGGGACACACTCGTGATTAGGTACTATCCCGATGAGGAAGATATTAGGAGGGTGTAATTACAAATACGCGATAACCCACGGGTACCGGGTAATGATCGACTCCCGAGGCTCCCTCCTCCCTTCCGGTGATTAATGGCCACCCGGAGGACGCGATAAGGGTAAATATGAACTACACTCTATTTTCCACCCCCATGGAATGTCCTCCAGCCTATAATTACCCGCTGCCACGGTTTCTTTGCCCTCGTAAAGGTTATTTCATTTCTAATTTCAGGTTTGTTTTATGACCGCGAACCAGCTCTTCGCGTGGTCCTCGAGAATACCGTGATTAATCACCCCGTTTTATTTAACGTAATTCCCAGGCGAACGAGTAACTTCACATTCTTCCTGCTACTTACCAGATTTCTAAATTGAAAATCCGCTAGCCGTTAATTAACTCTTGGAGTAGAGCTGTGTAACCGGACAAGAATCGATCAATTTTCCACGATGCAAAGGGATCTCGAAACCTTCATGGGCAACCGTCGAATTAGCCGCGCCGAGTCGAATCGAACGAACGCACGTATGGACGGATACGTCATGAATAGGTCTGGTAAAAAAAAAAAAAAAAGGATTTTCCAGTCGGGAAAAACTGATTGGCTCGACGCTGTCAATCACTCTATCGCGACAAAAGCGATTACCGAAACATCGCTAATGTGATTTTCCCATCGAACGGAGACCGGAGCCAGCTCGGGCTACCTTTTATCTTTTGGCTTTCGTCGCTCGAATCGGCGACTCTTGCTTTTGCTTTTAACTCGGAGATTCATCGTTTCGGAACGAGAACCGGAGGGGGGGGGGCAGGGGACAGGGAGTTAAAAAGCTACGGGACGAGATAGGGAAAATAGAAGAAACGAGGAGAGAAAATGTGGGAATACGCGGATCCGGGGTGTACCTTTGCGACTCGAAACGCGATTATCTCCCTTTCCGTTACGTCGATTCGCGGTTAGACGCGAAAAAAGAGGTAATATCGAGAGCCACTCGAGTTATTTACCCGAGCAAACCCGGTTCGATAAAAGTGTTTAATGATTCCCGGTGCTTTGTGCGGGACTCGTTCATTTTTCACAGGCCATAGTCGAGTTTACAGATCGTTAAGCTTGTAAATATCAACTGATAGATTGTACTCGTCGAATAAACTAGCCGTCCGTGCATCTGGATCGCGATCACGAGTTGAATGAAACGATGCTCGCTTTGATCTCCGTTTAAATTTTATTTTATCCATAAAAATACGTATCAATTTCCTTATCGTAAACTCCGACCGTATCTATTTCGACCCATCGTTTTGTTTTATTATATTCGGACGCATTACGGACGTCGCGCTTTCAAATGGATTAAAACTACGACCCCGGTTGATTAATAGGCGAAACTAGGGTGGAGCGTCATTAATTTGGAAAAGTGGCAATTATTATCAACAGCGTGGTCACGGTACGGCGCGGCAGGTCTTCCACTCGCGTCGCCGACACCGGGACCATCACCGTCAAAGTGCGTGACAGTTGGCAATTTCGTAGCGCCGTTGATAACGGTTGCTGTCAGTTAGCGGATTTTATTGTCCACCCTAAACTCGACCCATAGTCACCCTTGCACACGATAATTATCGAGATACCTCGAGCCCGGCGACCCCGACTGACCGATGGTAATCGGTATACGCACACATACGTGCGAATTTCCCGGCTAACGACGGATCGAGCGTGCAATTTTTTATTGTCCCTCGATTGAACCTGAGGGTAGATATCGAGAACCGTGCGTGGGACGTCGACGAAGCAATTCAGATGTTTCGACCATTTCTCTTTTTGTATCGAATCGTAATTTCCAGCCAACTGTTTGTTACAATGGTAACGGCTAATTTCGTTGAACAAATAAACAGAATTTGACGTTACGTTGTACGTGTTCGGTGAATGAATAAGCCGGACGAGAGGGAAGTTAGCCGGGTGAACGTGGCAGGGGAACCTGATTGCCACACCACGCCCTGACCCACGAGATTTTCAAGATACCCGCGTTGAACGCGAACACGAGAACACGTTAGGGGTCAACCAACTCCGCAGCCCCGGGTCTCGTTATAGTTATAGTTATAGTTGTAGTCGTTGCCTCGATACGACCTTCGAAACTTTCGACCACGCGTTTTATTTGCAATAACTCTCGGACGCGTTAACACGTGTTTCGGTAACAACCACGTACCAACGACGCTATTCTACGCGTTGCGTTTACTATCGAATTTGTTCCGGTTACGAGTTACGTACGATATTTTGTCTGACGATCAAACCGGCGAATTGCCGCGGTTCGTAATCTAAACGTACAAGACGATCGAAAATAGAGACTCACTGGTGCGATCAGCGAGGCTGGCGAATTCTGGTCGGATGACTCGCGTTGATGATTCATCTGAAATGAGAAGAGAGTTTCTCGTTAGGTTGATCTACCGCATCGGGAGTCTCGTGGAACCGAGCGATAAAACACAGGGAGTCAGTCGTTTGGCACGCGGCACAGGAAACTCCTCGGGAATTCTTGTAATTTGAAAATTGCCTACGACCGTTGGTACACCTCGTTCATCGATTTCCCAGCGAACAGCTGGAGCCGAGGTGGAAAAATGTATAAGCCAATTTGTAGGAACCTAAGGACAAGCGAAACTGGGCAAGTGAGCAGTTTTCGAAGGCAACCGGCATAGCTCCGGCCATAGTTCCCTGCATAGTTCGGCGAAGAAACCGGGAAAACTGACGCCACCGCCGCAAGAATTCGTACAGTCAAACTATTCGACTGGTCAACTATCGCTAACGGTTAGCCGGTAGTTAGTTAGTCATTTGGCGTGTATACGGGCTCCTCTATGGCCCGTTCGATCCTCTATAGAACGTCAAGAATGTTTCCCGGAGTTCTGTTTCCAGGTATTTGCAACCGGATGGATGGACGGATACACAGGGAATCTGAGGATTTTTGTTGCGGTTCAACGTCGTTGATTGGCGTTCCATCGATTTCACCATCCCCCGTTGAATTTAGTTAACTCCTATCGCTACCGAAGGCTGCATCGCACCGCATCGCATTGTTACCGTTCGTTCGCCAGCAAATTGGATGACAATTGGAAAATGAACGGAGGATCAAATGAAATATGACGGTAAATCCGTTTGATGCAACCACGCACTGCCGAGTCCTGACATTATCGTACCAGGAAAAGAGAAACAATCAAGAACGGGCGTACATAATCGTTAATAAAACAATCTTATTTAAAAGCCGTGGATAATAGATTGTACGATCGAAATGATCGAATTATTTCGTGCGATTCGGTGTTACGAGAATAAACAAGGAGGGTCGGCTTTTTCGACGTCACGGCTCGAATGCCCGGTCACGAATTAATGCCCGTGGTGCATCGGAGTCGAACGCTATCCTTAGCCGTAGCGACGTTTATTTTTCATCCGAACGCTTAACGTTAAGTTGAACGTTTTTCTTGAAATTTCCCGGTGAAGTGTCCGTACCTGTGTACCTACTACCTACGTAAGTACGGAGTTATTTCGATTTCCCCGTTTTACGGGACGGTTTCTATACTTGCGCGTAAGTGTACGTATACGGATGGCTAGTATAGAGAGGCGAGCGGGCGAAGAGCCGCGTGGCGAAGCGAATAGCGGTGGAGGGTATGAAATTTACAGCGGTTAAACTGGGTTAAGTTCAGTTAAACCGAGTTTCCCCGCCGAGAACGCTGACTAAATGTTACAGCAGAGCGAACGCACGCGCGCATCGCTCTAGAAACTTGTTGTAAACTATTATTGATGAATTCGAAACCCCGGACCGCTCGTCGACGACGACCGGGGCCATTGTCGTTACTCGCTATTTCTTCTCTCCGCGAACGCGATTATGTACCCCGCCGACCCTCCCCTTAACCCGTTTCTAATTGAGATGGTCCCGTTAATTATACCCTTGGAATCGCGTCAACTAAAATTGCTTATCCGAATTCCCGATTGACGCGAAATGGCTAAATTGTAATACGCAAACTTGTTAAGTAGAATAAACTTTTTTCACTTATACAATCCTGTAATCGAGGATCATTCCGACATCGTTAAACAACAATAACAGGAATAAAGCGTTAATTAGGTCGAACAAATATTCTTCACGCACATATTCATAAAAACGTGCTGGTCGGTGCAGACTCCATAATTATTCTGTTCATAGAACGAATGATCAAATAAACGAAAATGTACAAAACGAAGCGTCATTGATTATACGATATAATTTGTTATATCCGATGGAATCTACGGAATTGTATTCAATAACTGGGGAATGAGATTTATAATGAACAGAAGCGAATGCAGGTAAGTACTGATCAAATATAAATTATAAATACCGTACAATTAAATTCCTTTCGTTGTTTGTCATTATTATTAAACACGTATGAACGTTCGTCGACTTTTATTAGCGAATTCATTAGCTTAATTTCGTTCGTAATTGATTCACCGATGGAAATATACGAGAGAAGTTCAAAGGAGATTTAGAAAGAGATCATCGATCGAAATTAATTCCATTGAAAGAATCCTGTTTCATAAAAGGAAGCAATCGTCGATCGTAGCCCGATTGAAAACTCGTATTACTAGTTAGCCCCGAAATACGAGGGATTACCCCAGCAGAAACCTTATATGTAACGACACGTAGAAAATAAAAGGTTACAGGTTACATTCCACCCTCCTTTGCTTCGAATTACAAAGAACGAGCGTGGAAGACTTACGGAATCCAACGAACTTGAATGTTTTCATACCGATTTCATTCCCTAAAATGAATTCCTGTCCAGGTGCGATGTGTTCAATTGAAAAAATAAATTCCATCGAACCAGCAATTGATATTCTATTATCGTGTTCGGTCGTGGGAACAAACAGCGAGGTGCGATACAATTTCATCTTCTTTGATACAAACCGAGAGAACTCGCGACACCGTGACTCCGTCTTTCTGACAAGCGTCGATACTGTTTATGCGCGAAAGCTCGCGGTGGCACGGAGATAGGGAAGTAGAGGTTCCCGCGACCCGAAAACCGTGGCAGACTTCGCTCCATCGAGCTTAATGCCTATCCGCGTCTATCCACGGCTCTAAATTCTATTTGCATTCGCGTACACACACGTACATGTCCGCATTAGCACGGTAACCTATTTACGCGATACATATTATATAAACAGGCGAGATATAATATGCGCGTACATAAGACGATGGGCATCAATATGTCCAATATTCGGTCGCACGTAAATACGCGAGTACATTTCAGTACATACGCGATGGGTATTACGTGTGCCGAGCCGACATACATACATACATACATACATATACGTCTACAGTCTATCACAAAATTCTCCGTACGAACGGTCAGACATTTCAAGTGAGGAAAAAATAATAAATATATATGTATATATATATATACATACTATGTATGTACATCGTTATCGCCAGACGTATGCTTCGTTAATAGACCAAGTGCTAACGAGCCTGCACCGATACCACGTTCGTCTTCAAAGTTCATCCAACTTTACTGAGGGCAAATATTGTCTCTTTCTCGACGAGTGTAGTTTCGTACGGGACGGGTATCAATCAATAGGTAGGTATCGAACAATGGATCATGTAATAAAATCAATAACTATGTAATAAATGCGGCTTCGTAAGAGCATATGCTAGAGTTTGATAACGTTCCTTATAATTCGCGACGCGGGGGAGGGAGGGGTCTGGCGTTGGTGGTGAAACAGATAAACTCCCGCGCTTTTGTAAAGAGGGTTCCACGAGTGGTTTGTGGAATTTTGTCACCGACTGTATATATGGGTCGGGGTAATATTCGAGGACGCCGAAAGCCGAAAGCACGTTCGAGCGATCGATCTCGACCCGGCCCGCCCGGTCTGGGACCCACCCTCTTTAACCGAGTCTTACACCAACCTTCCTCTTACACTCGGGTTCCGCGAACGAGACTTCAACGTCGCACGATTCGAAAACTGGGAATGGGGCAAAGACAGCGAGAGAGTATCGGTACTCTCTCGCTCTCCTCCAGTGGGTATCTCAACTTACGATTGCCCCGGGGGCGTGCACAGAAGTGCAAAGCAATCGTCTTCCCCGGGTCGACCCGCGCCGTCCTCGCCCCCTCCCCCCTCCCCCCGTCTCCCCCTTCGGCTATAGGTTTCTGTAGAAACGGTTACGTATCGAGATACGTACGGGAAATGTGCTCGGAAGTTACCACTTTTGAAGCTTCGGTAATATCTGGAGACAGTGTATCCCAATTTACCAGCGCGGTTCCCTGAGCCCTCGTTACAACCTCGGTATCTTCTATTCTAATGTTCTCCGGGCCGCGACACACTTTTAGCGTAGTTAAGTAACTCGTGGTTAACGTTATCGCGTATTTATAGAGATTGCGAATACAAACAAGAAGCGTTGCTGGAAACGTATCGTATGTGGCTACGTACATAATTAGTTCGAGGGGTGAGAAACGGTTTTAATTTTGCGGCGAAAGTAAATCGGCCACAAGTTCGCCCAAGTGGAGCCAATTCGCCGGTATCGCGAGACCTCAAAATAGCCGGCTCGATTTTTACAGAACCGGCAATTTTATCCCGCGCGATATTCACTTTTGCGGGTTAGCGATTGTAACAAATGGATTTAATAACGGTTAAGCGTTTCGTTTAATAATTGTTAAGCGATTTGTCCAGACCAGCGGGTTCGGAGTATGTTACTAAAAAATAAAGAACGGATAGGCGAGAGGATTTTCACGGTGGTCAGCAAGAACCGCCGTGCCACCACTACTGCTGCTGCTGCTGCTACATAGATACTTATGATGGAACGTGTTCGCTTTTCCGAATCGTTACCGCGCGCTCCCTGACCGAATTTCCCCTCCGTTTCTTCTATCAGTTCCGTGAAAATGTATCTACCGGTAGAGAAAACGTCACGAGATGGATTGAGAGTCGGCGGATCGGTAACGAGTACAATTTTATCGAGATGGAAGGGCGGACCTTTATCACTTAGGATCCTCGATTTGCTTCCCGCGAATAAAAAGTAATCCGATACCATTTTTCCCTTTGACAACGGAACCGAATTACCTTCCCTCTCCTCCTGGCGTAGCGGCCGATAGTAATTTTAAAAAGTGCCATTACACCGGCAATTTAAGAGATATTCGATACATTCGATCCTCGATTTTCTTTGAGACTCTTTATCGACGGGAAAATTGAGTTACGCGAGAAAGAGGGGAAGAAAAAAAAAAAGAGAAACCCTGGGAAGCGTGGGAGCAATTCGAATTACCGGTCTCTCTCACCCTTCTCTTACTTTTCCACTCTCTCTATTTTTGCATTTAATCTCGATTCGATTCACAATTTTAAACAACCGTCCGCCTCTCTGTTGCGATTTTCGAGAAACGTTCACCAATGTTTTCGCCATTTTCGCTTTCT